GGAACTCAAGCGAATCTATACTGAGTCTAGCCCACAAAGCAATGAACTACTTTTCCATGATAGATAACATAAATCGAAGTAGTCAAGTAGCTTGTGTGCAGACTTCTTCTATTTCCTTTGATAGAGATGACTGCTTTGAAAAATGTTATTGACCACGTCATCACATAATTAGTAAGACTACTTTAACAATCTGGTTCTGCTTTTAATATTATTAGATTTACTACACTGCAAGCATTCACGATATTGAAGTGATTCACTGATCCATGAAAATAAAATAATATCATTTTATTATTTTGTGAAACAATTTGTTTCAGGTCAGTTTGCCCAGTATAGACCAGTATAATGACCCTAATGGAACCTAATGCACTCATTTTCCTCACCCTAATCAGTAACTGCAGTCCACTGTCGTACAGTGGCCATTTGTCTTTCTGCGTAATACCCCTGATGACCCTTTCCTGAATCAAAACCATTGGATTGCATTGAATGCAACATTCTCACTCACTGCAGATCCTCAATTTTTATTAACCCCCGCCCCCCTAAGAATGTGATCCCAAACCCCTCCCTTTTGAAGAAAAATGTCGTAAAATAATCAAAGTACCTCCTCATGAGCACGAAATGTTTGGTGCAATTCATACCATACAATATCGCTGTATCAAGTACTGTTCTCGGTGCAGGAGGAGGGGGTACTATAATGGCCTAAACAGAGCCTGAAGCCTTTTTCAGGCTTCAGGTACATGAAAGGGAAGGGGTTTTTATAGTGAAGTATATGAAAGGGACCAAAATGAGATCAGTCACAGATGCATTTTATGGATGTGAGAGACAAGAAAACATGTTTTAGCTATTTATTCATATTGTAAAGATGGTGTATTTACAGCAGTTAAAAAGGGATGCAGCGTTCAAAATAAGGTATGTGAAAGGGGTACCATTTGTCCCTAGAGGGTATACAAAAGGGGTACCTTTTCTGTCTAAAATGGTACATACAAAGGGTAAAGGGTTGGTCCCTGGGGCAGAGCCTCTTTGGTGAGTAAAAATAGGCAAATATACCATTTTTTGGATGTTCGAAAATCCTAGGAGAGGCAGGCATGCAAGAAACTTTACAACAAATGTTTCGAAAATTCTAGATCTCAAATCGTCTTCCGAACAGATATTCTTCCGAAAATTGTCGTTGGGTGCCCCTGCTGGCTGCTTCGATCTACGTTATCTTTCAGCATGTATTTAAGCCAAAATCCTACGAAAAGCGTCAAGCAAAAGTAGTTCATTGCTTTGTGAGTTAGACCCAGTATAGATTCGCTTACGTTCCAAATATGGCGGTGCTTTGAGAGTTTTTGTCCCGACTGTAGCTTCTTTCAACTGCTGTTAGAGCATATTTTGTTGTTTAGTAAAACGCAAAAGCGTGAAAAATGTCATGACATTATTACCTCCGTATTATTTCAAGCACCTCCTGAGCATATAGTTCATTAGTAAAATAGCGACCTTAAGTGTTGTTTCGACGCTTCTCTATCATCGATCTTACCGGGTTCTTGATCCTTACCGGCCATTTTAGTCCGGTGGCTTAGTGCAAAATTTTGGCGAGATCTATACAGAGCGGACAAAAGCACCAAACTTTGCATGGTTGTAGCTTAGGGCATGTTAGTCAATATTAGGATCGGTGCCCACAGCTACCTCTTCAGGATTTGCAGCAACTGCTCGCTGAAGTTCTTCAACAACCTTCTATGATGGGTGCCCTGTGCTGAAAATTGCAATCCCTTTTTTTTTTGCCTTTTTTTGATGAAAATCACATAAAAAGGGAAGTAGATGGAAAAAGAAACTGTATTAATACTATCATTATGAAACCAATGACTAAAACAAGTCAACATAATGATATAGCACCTATGATGTACCATGGTGGGTGCCCTGTGCTAAAAAAATACCAATTCCTTTTTCTTTTACCATTATTTCGATGAAAATCACATGAAGGACATGGAAATAAAAAAGAAATTGTATTATTATTAAAACCAATGAAAAAAACATGCAAGGAAAATCCAAGGAAGATGTTTTCGGACGCGTTCCAAAATAGCCTTTCAAGGTGGCGGCTGTGTCTTTTCATGGACTGTAAGTATCTACTAGAATAAATTGCCGTTTTGGGGGGGAAATTGTGTACAATTTGAATCACGACAGGTTTAAGTGAATTTTAAGTTCTTCTTGGTGATAAATTTGTTATCGAAAGCCACATTTTCTCTTCACATTTTGTGCCGATTATGAATGAGTATGCTGCGTTTATTTTCGTACTGGTTAAAATTAATAATAGTAAAAACAGCTTCTTTCTATAGCGCTCATATCCTGAGCACATGGTGCTTTACAATGTTAAAGAGGAAAAAAAATTATATCTCGAGCATGAAATAACATAATTATATTAAAATCTATTTGCAATTCACAAAGAACAAGAGAAGGAAACAACCTAAGAATTCATCTGTTTTAAAATTATTTTGCCTTTAAAGTTTATATATGATGATAATAAGTCATGGAGAAAACTAAATATACATTCTATAAGTGTAGGTATATGATCTGCAGATATTAAAGACGTTTTACAAAAGTGTTGACTTACTCTCTAAAAATTGGGTAAAAAGGTATGTTCTCAGTCCTTTCTTTCAACTGGCTAAAGATGGTGACTTGCGCAAATCTAGCTAATGGTAGTGAGTTCCACAGTTTAGGGGGGCACACTGAAAAAGTCTTTTCCCCGTGAGTTTTCGAGGTTGTTCTAAGACCTGCTGAGATGCGGACCACAAGTTCCTGGAAGGCCTTCGATAACTGTCCGCTAGGTAGCTATGTGGAAGGTTATTAAGTGATTTGAAAACTGACAAAATAAACAACATGATAACTAACAGGAAGCCAGTGAAAGTCAAATAAATGATGTGTTCGCAAAGTTTGCGAGTCCGAGTAACGATCCTGGGGGCAGTGTTCTGAACATATTATTAAAAGTTCCTTCAAGTGCATTTTCCTACAACCATAGAGCAAGGAATTGCAATTAATAGTCTGTTTTAGATGTAATAACAGCATGCACTGCAATTTCGCAAGACGCCCGTGTGAGACACTTTCTTATCTTTGATAAGTTCCTGAGTTGGTGAAACGATGTTGTGCAAAAAAATGCTGAGACGTGTGCGTCAAACAGCACGTTGTCATCAAATACTACTCCCAGGCTTTGTTGGTGGTGGTTCTTAGCCTTGCATTACCCATAATGACGTCGCTAAAGGGTGGACGAGTACGGTACATCGACAAGATAAGCATGATTTCGGTCTTATCATGATTGAGTTTAAACTCGTTTCTACACACGAAGATTGAAATCAGTTGGGATCGTTGTCATATTTACCTAGGGTGAGAATCGAAAAGAGAGGATCTGAGAAACCCATTAATTTAACGGATCAATTATTTATGGAACGCTCCTTGACAATTTGCTAGAATTCAAGAAGGAGGACTGTGCCGTCTTGTTGCAATTAAGTTTCATATTGAAATCACTACAGTAGGAAACACGTTACTGAAGTGCAAAGAGCCATCAATCCTGTCACCTTACGTCCAAATAAGAAAAAGCAAACTAGAAAAGAGAAAAAAGAATATTGAAGCAGATCAGAAACAGCAAGTTGGAGATTGTGGCACCAAACGAGCTTGTAAGACTGACACTATAGTGGAACTGCAAAGTGTGTGCCTTTGTTTGTAACGAATACAGCTTAATATGAAGTTCAGCAAGTATAAAGAAATGTGTATCATTCTCCACTTCATTTGCTATGTACTCAGTGATTTCAACAAATGCTCTTGATTTATTTAATTTCTCGTCTTCCTCGGCCTTCCAAGCGGCTCCACTTTTCTTCTTGCGTTCCTCTGACATGTATGCCTATTTCGCACGTCAGCCTTTTTAGTACATTTTCAAGGAGCGTTCTATAAATTAATGCTTGTACCGTTAAACCAGTGGGCTTCTCAAATCTTCTTTTGTTGATTCTTGGCAAATATAACAACGATGCCTGTTAATATCCATCCTGGCGTGTAGAAAACATCTCAGCTTCAGAAACCTTTAACTAACCAGTAAGTTAATAAACTCGGTATAGTCATTCACAATCGGCACAAAATATGAAGCGAAAATGTGGCTTTCGATAACAAATTTATCACCAAGAAGAGCTTAAAACTTCACTTAAACCTGTCGTGATTCAAATTTTGCATAATTTCCCCTAAAAAAACGGCAATTTATTCTAGCAGATACCTACAGTTCATGAAAAGACACCTTCAAGCCGCCGTCTTAAAAGGCTATTTGAGACTGGGTACGCGTCTGAAAACATTTTCCTTGGATTTTCCATTTAGTTGACTTGTTTTTGTCATTGGTTTCAATAATAACACAATTTCTTTTTTTATTTTCTTGTCTTTCATGTGATTTTCATCAAAATAATGGCAAAAAAAGGAATTGATATCTTTAGCACAGGATACCCACCATGGTATATCATAATTGCTATATCATTAAGTAGACTTGTTTTAGTCATTGTTTTCAATAATAATGGTATTAATACAGTTTCTTTTTTAATCTACTTCCCTTTTACGCGATTTTCATCACAAAATGGCAAAAAACAAGTAATTGCAATTTTTAGCACAGGGCACCCATCATGGAAGGTTGTTGAAGCGAGCAGTTGCTGCAAATCCTGAAGAGGTATCTGTGGGCATCGATCCTAATATTGACTAACATGCCCTAAGCTACAACCATGCAAAGTTTGGTGCTTTTGTCCGCTCTGTATAGATCTGAGCCTTTAGCCACCTGACTATTTGGATTTTTATAGAGGTTTCCGCTGACAACTCGTTCCCAGACTTCCGTTCCCCGTTCCCCGTTCCCCGTTCCCCGCTCCCCGCTCCCCGCTCCCCGTTCCCCGTTTTAGTAACATCCGTGCCACTGTTCATTCCAAGAAAGTGAACGTGTCTAAGCTCGAATATGCTAGGTCGTTTGGTGCAACAATGAAGGAGAGCGTCAAACGTGCTACAAGCTGGGCTACCCAAAGCCCGACACAACGGTGTCTCTTCATAACGTACCGTTGATGATGCCTCTGTCCGTTGTCAGCCTTCCTGCAAATGACTGTGACCTCTTACGCAACTGGGCCTCAGCATATGGTGCTGCAGTAAGACAAAGGACAGTGCGGCAGGAAACTACAATGGCTAAGCACGGAACATTGCCAGAGTATCTTTATCAACGCCATCTGGAAGTTGGTGATAAGGTTAATCTGAACTTCGGAGTTGATGAAGATGAAGGACCCCGTGAAGATCTGAACGAGCGTGAAGTGAGTGAGGAAGCTAGTGTCTCTAGCGAAGGCCAGCAAGAATTTGATGAAAGTAATGACGAAGAAGTTGAAGTCAGTGCAGATGACAACAATTCTCAGGGCCAGCAAGATGAATTAGGGGCATCGACGAATTTTCTCTTTGGTGCAAGGTCGCGATATGGAAGGGCAGTGAGGTTCAATAATCGACTGCTGTTTTGAGTATCTGTTTATTACCACATTAAACCTTAGAGCAAGTTCCTGCTGCCATGTAAAACTGAAAAGGAACTAATCGTACCGGTTAGCTTCCTCAGTGTCGACTCAGCTTAGTGCAATCGCATGTTAGACAATCGAGTCTCCAAACTTTCAGGTGTTAGTTATCAAATGGAAATGTTCGATTGGAGATTTTCGATTGAAGTTGAGGAGTTTTGCGACTGCAAAATTGCAATTCTAAAGAGGACTTGTGTGCAAATTCTCCTAAGTTAACTAGGCTCCATAACTAGCGGCTTTTCGGAAATTGAGCCGCAAAGTCTGGGCTCGAGAGAGCGGCAGAAGCAAAGCCTATGATTTAAGCAGACACAAAAAGATACGAAGGCTTCAGACAAAGTTCATGACATTCACAAATACTTTGGTGAAATTAGTGTTAGTTTAGTTTGCTCTGTATGCCCCACTTGTCACCATTGTATCGGTTTTTGACGGTTTTGTATGCGGTTTTCGGTTTTGGCCGAATTTTTTTGCGGTTTTGCGGTTTCTAATATACCCCAATGCCCCCCTCATTAAATAACAAAACAAATAATAATAAATTCGCTATTATGTTGAAGCGTAACTCTCAGTAAAGTTCATTCAAACACTCGAGCACACTGACAGCTCGCACTATAGAAACGAGAACCAGCTGGCAGTATGGGTGATTTTGGAAATTTTCTGAAATTTTTGAACGGTTTGGCTCGTCCTGAATATTGACTGAGTGCAATTTGTCTTGAAAAATTGTGAAATACCGCATTCTGTCCGAGCTCTGTATGCTAAATAGTACTGTTTCACCTCAAATGTGTTGTATAAAAATTATAAAAGGTTGGTTTAAACACCCCCAGATTTGTTGGCAAGAATTTGTAAAGTAAACCTGTCGAACGCAAAAAAATTTGGCGTGATTTATTTTCCAAGAATTTGTTTTCGAGGCCTAATCTACTGTGATCTTGAATGTGATCTAAGACGTTTGCTATTTTTTGTGTGTACATATAAGGTTATCAATTCGATGTAAGATGTTTCACTCTAAAATAACTTAGCCTTTCCCTCAAAAGTCACATGAATGTGCCCTTAAGTTAAATGATTTGTGGATTAAAAGTTTATTGTTTGATTTAAATTATAAATTTATTAAAATTGGAGCTTCGCTTTTAGCCCTGGCTAAATCTATATATTACCTCCTAAGTTTGAGCAGAAACTACGTTGCCATTAACAACGATTTGGAAAAATTAGTAGCCTGCGGGCAAATCTCCCACCCCTGTACCCCCAAGAGCCCTAGGAGGGCTTACTGGCAGGCTAAAAAATTACCACGACACCACAGTTGTGTGGTCCATGGGGACTGTGTGCCGTCCAGAAATCTGGCAATTATTACAGCCTTATTGTATGCAATACTGGCAATTGTCGTGTTGATCAGTTTATACTGGAGGGGTGTTTCACTGGAAAAAAACTGTTAATAAGTCCAAAAACCTGCAGGAATAATTGCAACATCAGATAAACACATTTTTGTTTCAGACTGTAAAGCCACTAAGATTCACAACCTGAAATAAGCAACAAAACAGAGATCTCAGTATGATAGAATTTAAACGTAAATAGCCGCTGAACACAATCGGTCAGCGACAGTATTAATGACAATACCGGACAAATGTTTCTGTAGAGGGAGAGCTCTGTGACAACACAGTATTTCAGTGAAGCAATTGGAAAGGAGAAGATATTAAAGTAGAACAAAGTTAAAAATAATGCGGAGTAAACTACGAGTTATAACACAGTAAATAATTCTCTTTGTGATAGTATTTTCACAAGGCCTAATATGTTAAGTAGTTATGCAAGTTTGTAGATGATATATTAGATGAAAGAAACTCTCTTGCTATTATTTTTAAAAGGACTGTGTCACTAATAATTTTGTAACAGTTATCAAAAAGATAATTCACTCGTCAAAGGCCAGTGAAAGTATTATTGCAATATTAAAAAAAAAAAAAAAAATTGGCACTGATTATTTCACTTTTGTTTTTAGACAAAGCAAAAGTGAGCCAAAATTGTTTCATAATTACGCAAAATTGTCTGAGTTCATATCATTAGTTAGGTCTTTTAGGAGGGTCTCCAAGAAACGGACATACACAATAATCACAAGACTTTGTGCAGCCTCATATAATACATAATGATAACGAGTTGTACTTGCTTCACCTTTGCTTACTGGTGATCTAAATAAATTTTTTTCATATCAATGGATCAGCAAGAAATTTTTTTATTTTAGCTGTTTATGATTGATAAGGAATACTCCTCCAGACGTGCTGCCCCTTTATCGTTAATCTTAACTTGTTCACATCAGAGCCGCCCGCGTAGATCCACATCCCTTGTGCCGCTAGCTTTCGAGGAAGCTCTCCATTTCGAGTGGTAAGCGAAGCGAGCCGCGAGAGAACGCGCGAGCGACGAGGAGTGGAGAAAAAGGAGAGCCCTCCGTTCTTTCTCCACCCCTCACACTCGCGTCTCCTTTAGCGTGCGGCTCTCCCGTGACTTCTCGCGACTCCCCCAAAAGGAGAGCTTGCTCGCAGGCTATTGTACCGCTTGTAAAGTCATCAGATTAAACGGTCATTAAGAACTTTTACACCTAACCTGTGCAAGGGAAAGAGATAATAAAAACGATTCGAATGAACATGAAGGCCAAACCCTTTTTCAAATTTTCAGAAAGGACCCAAGCCCCTGAAACTGAATTCTTGATTTATTACAAGATTTGTTCTTTTTACTTCTTTTAAATATAATTATTTACCACCATATTCACCGAGTAACTAACTTCTGGTTTTCATTTTATGTTCGCCAAATAATTGAATCAAATTAATAATATAGCTTACAAACTGCTGGCTGACATTTGAGAGAAAAGAACTGGTGTTTCTAATGCATTGATTTCCGGCTCATTGTATGGACTAGGTCCTCGGGGTCGGATAACAACGGTGAAACTCCGGCCGGCGTACACATTCTGTGTAAACGTTTAATTTAGAAGTGCGGTTTGCATAGCAGGGTGTTGAATGAAAACTAATTGCCTGTTCATCATTCTGGACAAACCTGTTTTCAGATTCACGCTGGCTCAACCAAGCGAAGCGGCGACGATGAGGGAGAGAGAAGCGAATGATTAGAACAAGAAAACAATGACACTGAGTTTATTTCTGCCTGCCGGGAGAGTAATTTGGGGAAGAAAATAGGTCACGTGTTGCGCTTAACTGTTTTGAACACCAAGAATAGCATTCACCCTTCAAGAGTGTTGGAGAAGAAGATAAATATGGCGTGTCAGAACGAATTACAGAACAGAGACTGCGAAAACAAATCAGGGGAAGTGTGCATCATCTCAAAGCTATCACTTAACTTGTCATCTCCTGACCAATAACTGTCTCCTTGACGAGAAGCACTTCTTATGAAACTTTCGGCTTGTCGGACCTCCGCTTTGATCTTTTGATCATGTGACCATTTGTTTACCACGTCATGCTGCGGAGACCTGGTACAAACTACCGGTACTTCCTCTTCAAGTATAACTCTTCGGTTGAAGAAAAGCATTTTATCTTGATAACTAGAATTAGGAAGTATCTTACAACGGACACCTCTAAGACATTAGTACATGCCATGATTACAAGTAGAATTGATTACTGTAACAGTTTGCTATGTGGACTCCCGGACAACTCTTTAAACAAACTTCAGCGAGTTCAAAACGCAGTAGCCCGGCTTATAACTGGAACAGCAAAGTTTTCTCACATACCTCCGGTGCTCCGCTCCCTTCACTGGCTTCCCATAAAACAAAGAGTTCAATTTAAAATGTTAATTTTAATTTTTAAAGCTATTAATGGCCTAGCTCCTAATTATATTAGTAATTTAGTTAACATTCTATGCCCTAGCAAATATTTGCTTCGTCGAAACAATGAGATACTATTGGAACCATACAATGGTAAAACCAAGAAAACGCTAGGTGACAGGGCGTTTGCCGTGGCAGATCCCAGGCTTTTTAATTCACTCCCTCGTGAAATCAGACACGAGACATGTTTTAACACTTTTAAAACTAAGGTTAAGACTTTTTTGTTTCGCATGGCTTTCTGTTAATTTTATCTAATTTAATTGCTCATTATCTTATTTTTAATACGGTGTAATTTAGTTTTTTTTTTTATTATGTATTTTTAGTTTTTATATGATGTATATAGTTTTCTTATTGCTTTTGTTTATAGTTTTTAGGTATCCTAGATGTAACGCGCATTTGATCATATTCGAATGTTAATTTGCGCGCTATAATCAATAATATTATTTATTTATTTATTTAACTGATATGAAAGGAAACTATGTAAGAAAAGTGGGTTGTTATGGAAACAATGCTGAACAGCTCTTTTATCCAGCTGACGTCACATATCTAAATGATGATAACATTCTGGTGGTGGATGAATTAAATCATCGCATTCAACAATTTAACATTCAAACAGGGAACTCTTTGGAAAGCTTTGGAAAGAAAGGGAAAAAAGATGGTGAATTTCAGAATCCTGTCAGTGTTTGCGTGGATGATGAAGGTCGTGTTATCGTAGCTGATCACCGTAACGGCAGAGTCCAGGTTTTAAGACAAAGGACCAGGAAAACTAAGCGAACCCAATGCTTGTGTTTACTATGGGAACAAGTTTATTGTTTGTGCCAAGCATAATCATTGGTTGAAAGTTGATAAATCAGGGACGTTTTTGTATGAGATAGAAGAGCAAGACAAGGATAATGGACAGCTGTTTTATTCACGGGGATTGTGTGTCCAGAAATAATCTTCTTGTATGCAGTGTTGGCAATCACCGTGTTGATCAGTTTACACCAGAGGGTTGCTTCAGTGGAAAAACTCTTGATAAATTACAATACCCCATAGGAATAACTGAAACACCGGATCGACTTACTTTAGTTACTGACACTGAGACCAAAACAATACACATTCTTAAATTATTAATAAGCATCATAGTTGCTAATCAAACAAATGCAAATCCTCGAATAACCACCAAGAAAAGAAAACGAGAACTCAGTATGGTAGAAGGTACAAGCATGGGCTCCTGGTACAAGTGAATAGCAGCTGAAGACTTTCAGTGAGCATCTTCTTTCTGATATTTATTTCTTAAGGTTTGACACAGGTTCTGTAGCCAGCCTCCTCCTCAGGCGCTTCGCTTTTCGCATGGCAGAGGCGAGCGCGAAACGCGAGTGACTGGTCCTTCCCGCCTTCCTTTGCGCGCACATTTTCATCAAAAGATAGACGTCTGGGTACGAGGCAGTTCTGTAGCTATTGCGATATGTAAATTTGTAAATACGTAAGGTAAAAGAAGCCCTCTTATTATGGAATCTTAAATTATAGTTTTAGTTATTTTTCGTTCATAGCAAATGAAACCTATTACAGTGGGCGAGTCACAGCCACTGAGAGTTTTCACAGAGGTACGCACAACGATTTGCAATTCACCGTAACCGCTCAGGTCTCTTAAATCGTTTCCACTTTCCTTGACTAACTTTGCTCTTTTTATGAGAACTGTGAGATCATGCATTCAGAGCATTCTTACTTATTTTGCTTCTGTCGAAATTTTTCACAACCTCGTCCCCAAGGCACTTTTCCCTGGCTTTGGGGGCGGGCCCCGCTGTCACAGTGATATGGTCATCCCCGCGTTTTGGGCATCCCGATTCCCATATCCATAGCGTTTTGAACATCCCCGGTGGGGGATGCCCAAAACGCTGATCGCTTCGACTTTGCCTGAATTATTTCAGACTGGGGAAAAGTCCGTTAGTCGGGATTGTCAATCACGAATTTACGGCTGAATAGTGTAGGTGCGTGTAAGAATTATATCGTCGGGTTTATTGCGCAGAAAAAAAACCCATAGGCACTAAACGTTGGGTCAAAACATGACGAGACTGAAATAACATCGCGTCGCTTCGCTGTACAACTCTTCATTGTTTGCAAAGCTTCAATTTTTTTAATAGAACTGTTTACAAGCGAGCAATGCCGCAATCGCCGCAGCTGCGATCGTCTGATTCCAAACAGACAAAAAAAAGAACACTAAACGAAGCAATCAAAAGACAAACATGAATAAAACTGCGTTTTGCGGTGTTGAGTTCATAGCATGCATGACATGTGAGGCCTGTACAACTTAACGCCGCAGCGCTACTTGACACACGAAAGGCTGTCACACAATTTATACAGAGGCCTCTTGCACCTACGAGACAGAAGAAATCTGTTGCCGTTTTGAGATGTAGTAGGGCCTTCTTTTGAATCAATTCCGAACAAGTACCAGACCTTGGGAACAACCTTCACAGGGTGCAAAACGTCGCAGGCCTTTACTTCCAGTACATTTCTCTGGCTCCGTTAACAACACTTTGTCTAAGGAGACGAAAACAACTACTAGTGAAAACAAAACAAAAAAAAACAACTGAAAATGTAGTTATGATAAATGGACGCTCCAATGATGGTCACAAGAAGAGATGTTGTGCTTGGCGCACACAAAAAAATATCTCTGACGTTGCGGGCGTGACAGCCGGCGTGACATAAATGGATGTGGGTCAACTGACAGAAAATCTGTCTTCTTGACCCTTCAGAAATATAACTTCTCATCTTTGTTCACATAACATAATAACAAACGGGAGCTATAAGAAGGACTCCGGTTTACAATGCCCCCTCTACCAAAAGATGCAATTATGCCTCACCCTTTCAAAGAAGAACACTGAAAACAAAAGAAATTTAGTATACTGTTTTCGATTATCAACGCGGGCATTTTAAAAACCACGATCAAGAGGATGCATTGGCTTATAAATAAAATTTGTAACTAACCATTTCCATCGTGTCCTTGTAGTAGTCAGGCCAGTAAAACCGTTTTTTGATTTTCCTAAGAGTATTATCGCGGACGGCAGCATAGTGGCACTCTTCGAAGACCCTCTCTTCCTCGGTGATAACAAGTCGCCGAAGCGCTGTGCCAACCTTCTCCTTGGCCACGTAGCCTGCGTAGCATGGCGGTTTTGTCGAGCCGGGCGCAGGAGCGGCGTAGCCGCGAAATTCGCGCGCGAAGCGCGCGAGAACGAGCGGCGAAGCCGCGAGAAAAAGTTTCAAGTTGCTTCCGCCCCAATCTCCTCGCGGTTTCTCTGCCCTCACCCAACCAAAACCGCCATGCTACGCAGGCTACTTGGCCACGTAGAACAAGGACTCTAATTCTGAGTCATACTCGAACTTTTTGGCAAATTTTCGCAGAGTCGTTTTGTCTTGCTTTGTAAAGCCTTCCGGATAAGCCTTCTTTTTAAGATACTGGAAAAGATTTCTATATTTAGCGGAAGCCATCTCTAAAACGTTTTCGATTTTCCCGCGAAATCCAGCATTTTTTGGAGGGGATGACCAAAACACTAGGGATTTGGGCATCCCGGGAGGGTACCGGGGGATGCCCAAAACGCTGCAGTAATATGAGAAGGGGATGCCCAAAACGCGGGGATGCCCAAAACGCTGTGACACCGCCCCGCCCCCAAAGCCAGGGAAAAGGGCCCTGGGGACGAGGTTGAAGTTTTCAGTCATTATTCCATCATGCTAGTGGTATCTCCAAGAAAGGCAGGATATTTTCCCAAAATGTCTTGTGATGTCAAGTATAAACCGACTATGGAACGTTTTTGTACGATGGTTATAATCCATTTCCCTCCCATATCCTATACTACCGTCATGACCCACCTTAAGAGACTTTAATTTTTATAAGGAACAATTATTTGAAAGAAATAATAAGCTGCATTTTATGATTTTTTTTTAAGGTCTCAACAGAAAATAAGGATTTCTTTCTGCGGCACGGTCCCCAGAGTTTTATACATGTACGTAAGTGACATTAACTTAACTATGCCAAATATCACCAGGGATTATTTAACTCTGCAATGTTTCTTATCCCAGTCTAGAGTTTCACGGGTAATAGCAGAATGGAGGGAAGCTTAAAAAACGACTACTTTGATCAAGTACCGTTAACATTGCATTTACAGTTTAGGCTTTAAATAAAACTTAATTGGGGCTATTCGTTTGCAAGTGAGAATAACAGACACTGTACCCTGTGTTAGTCATTATCACTGACTCTATTCTAAGAGTAGTGGACAATTGCATATTTGCGGGCAGCGTAAAATTTAATATAGAGTAACCAAGGTTTATAAGTCTGTTAATGAATAGATCTTTCCATTTTTTTAAACTATTAACATGGACAAGTTAGCGGAAAATCCGTCGACACTACTGGAAAGAACGCTTTAAAATTAGTAAAATTACCAAGTCTGAAAGGGAGCTGATGAAACCTAACGAAGATATAGAATCTCAAAGTCGCAAAATTTTACAGACGTTTGTATGGTGGTGGTGGTGGGGGGTCACAAATTTGCCCCCCACCATACAAACGTCTGTAAACTTTCGCAACTGTATGGAGCTATAGCAAACCCTGGAAGGGTCTGTTAAAAATGGAGACACATTTGGCTGAATGTAGACGCCACTAATCAGAAGTGAATCAGGATAGGAAATCATAATTTAAAAATAGAAACTGGAAGATTTACAATTCCCAAAACTCCTGAAGATCTTAGAATTTGTGATCACTGCAATCTAAATTCGGTTGAAAATGAAATGCACATATTATTTCACTGTATTCATAAAATGATTTGAGAAAGACTCTTTTCATTAAAATCAACGACCGAAATACATTATTTACAAATTACAATATCCATGATAAAGTCTGTTTTCTTTTTAACAATACTGATTCACATATCAGCAGGCTAACTGCTAATTTCGTCTTTCAAGTATTTAAAAAAGAAAGAAACATAATTAGTTATACCATTCCATTATATCTTCATTTCCTTAAATTCAGCTGTTTATTGTTATTTTAATCGGTAACACCTGTACAAAATGGTAATAGTGAATGAACTTGTTGTTGTTGGTTCTGCCTCGATTTAGAGCTGATTCCTCTCCCACGTTCAGCCTCCCTGACTAACTCCCCAATTTGAACTTGTAAGAGACTACTAGCGAGATCAAAACTGTCAAGATATTGCCCGGCCTTAAGTTAGTCTAAAGGGCTGCAACTGGCTTGTTAAAGCTAAATAAAGGAAAACAATCATAACATAATTATAGTGCTTCGGAGAAAGAGGGGGACATTGGAGGGTTCCCAATACCGCAATACCGTAAGAAAAAATGACAAATACCGAAATACCGCGTCGAAAATCGTCAAAATACCGATACCGCATATTTTAATCACATTTATATTAGGTTCCGCATACTTATGGTTGCTTCCATCTAGCGCGTTTAATTATCTCAGGCATCAGATCTGCCAGATGTCCATGTTCTTTTTTTTAATATTTTGGTAGTTCGCAAGTTTTTCGCAAATTTTCACTGAAACGTAAACTGCATTCGTTCAGCCTTTTGGTAGGTCGACCCAACAGCTAATTAACTCCAATAAAAATAACTCTTGAAAGCACGAAAAACAAACCAACCAAAACCCTTTCCACTCACGTCTAGTGCGAGTTTTGGATCACTCACCGTTTCTGGGAAACCAGTCTAGATAGCCTCGTAAAAAATCGTCTCGATAAAATGGCTACTCGATCTGCCACGAAGACGTGACTCGTTTAAAAAACAACAATCCTCCTCATTGAAACGAGGCTCGTTCAAAAAACGAGTCCTTCGGAAAACGATACTCGTTTAAA